TAGATATACCAAGTTTTACCACATTTCATTCACTTAGTTTTTCAAGGTGACAAGTTTAATTGACAATTATTCACGAAAAAATGCAAAAAATCGAAAACTGTCACATTCATTCAAAAAAATTAAAATTCTGATTTGAAATCGAATAAAAAGTTAAATTGCAGAGTCCAACTATACATAAGAGAGGGGAATATTTGAAACATATACGTACGACTGACAATTAAGGCGCTTAGCGGCTTATTTTCTAAAATGGCATTGCGAGTAAATTGAATTGAATGTTAAATATTTAATTTTTAAGAAAATTTTCAAAATAGAGTGAAAAGAGGAGTAAACAAAGTATTTTAGAAAAAATAGAACAATTCTTTAGCCCATTACACCTCTATTGAACATAGTAACTCCTTTCTGGAAAAAATTTGGATCGGCCACTAATGCGCTGAGTGCCTCAATTATGCTTCTTTCATTTTGTATAAAATTATCAAAACGTCGCTTACTACAGTCTATTCATCTGGTAAGTGCGTATCAAATTTTTGAATCTATCACATGCAGAATTCATAAAATCTAGAATATTGTAGAAGATAAGCTTTTTATAGAAACTTTATTATTTATAAAATGGTCGGTAATTACGAATTTTAAATTACCATCTGTAAATCTTTAATTATCATTTCGATTTTTGATTAGAAATAAAAATGGCGTAAATTTTCATCATATTTCCGCTTATTCCGAAAAACAACAATAACTCTCCTTCAGAAATTGTGAGTCTATGATATAAAATTCCAATTCCCGAACTCTACAAAATTTCAATTTCTTGCGAGTAGCAAAATACAACCCTGTTTTTTCTTATATTTTGTAAACCCTTAAGGTGTAGACTTTATTAAAGTTCATAACATTTTCTCTCAAAATTTTCAATATTTAATGGAAGTGATCCATTTTTTGTGTTTTTCTATATACTCGTATCTAGACCCTATATATTTATTATTTATAACTTCATTTTTTTATATTTTCTGGTCTTTTATTAAATATAACACTTTAATTTGAAATTTCTTACATAGTAAGCTTCAAGTTATGGTTTTTAGACTTTCAATATTTTTTTCGTATTATTGAAATTATCGAAATATTATTGGTGTTGTTATTGGGTATTGGTGTTGGTATTAATAAATAAAATGATAAAGAATATTTTTGCAAACTAAGGTGAAAAACAAAAAAAAAAAAAATGGATGAAATGAGCAAAAAATTGACCAGACGAAAAAAAGACGTTTATAAAACTAATTCATGCTTCTTTAGGATAAATTGGATTTGTACATTATAAGAATACTTGAATTTACTTGCACGATTGAAATATTATAGGGTCTACGGACTGAAGCTAATCAATAAATGGCGACATAATAATAATCACAATTCTGGGGCGATAAGGAAAAACAAAGAATTAGTAAGTAAGAATTTGTTAGTTTTGAGCAAGATTAAAAAATTTAAAATCACTTTTGGAAAATTTTAAAGGCCTTATAATAAAGGAGGTCTCACAGAATTTAGGTTAATATTTTTCAAATCCAATTTTACTCTTTGTGTACATTAGAAATTCTTGAAGTTTTCGTTGATTCAGTTCTAGAACAGTTCTAGCTTTTAGTACGTTCGGAAATTCACGCTAAATTCACTAAAAATATAAATCGTTCGAAAATTACTGCCTGTAATAAAGTGCGTTCGGAAATTCAATTTATAATAAAGAAATATCACAAATGTAGCGCAGACCTCTAGTTTAAATTTTGCCGCTTCCTCATGAAATTTTTTTTTTTTAATTTCAAAATGGCAGATTCAGATATTGAAGGATTATTACAGTAAGTTTTCTTTAAGTTTTTAAATCTTGTTACAATTTCCCTGTTTCGCAGCGAATTGGAAGGCGAAAAGTTATGCCATTTCGGTTATTTCCAAACGGCTGATTATTTAGAAGTTTCAGAATTTATAGGCTACGTAAACAAGAAAAAGCAAAGTTAAACTTGCATACTGTTTAATAAAGTTACACTTGCATACTGTTTAACACTGCAACTTAGAAATTTTTGTTCGAATGATTAGAACTTTCACCGCAGCATGCATAAACAAAAACCCCCTCTGTTTCGCATCTTATTAACATAATTGAATTAAGTTTTATTCAATTATAGTCATGTCGATTTAGATAGGTTTCCCTTTTTAGATGGCTTGATATTCAGATATTTTGTCATCGTTAGTGTTAATATTTATCGTAAAAATTTATTGGTGAAAACACGAAAAAATTCATAAACTAATGATTTTTCTCTACAAATAGAATTTTCAAAATTTTTACGATAATTATCATTTACTAATGTTAATATTAGTAATTCGCTTTTAAGTACAAGCTCAACTGTTTTTGTGAGAAAATGCAACTCTCTCTTGAAAACTAAATTCTTTAAGATATGATTTGGGACTCATATCCCCTAAGAATGTAAGCGAATCAATAAAAACAAAAATAACAGCCATGCATATATGCGTCTTTATAAATTCTTCCCAAAGTTGGATCTTGAGAGTTTTAACATCAGATCGAATCGGAGCATACATAAATCAGAGCATATTTCAACACATTTGGAAGGGGTTTATGATTTTTCATACAAAAATATCCAAAAAGCTTTCTACGAAAAACACAAACTTATGATGTTCGAAACGAACTGCAAGTTTTCAAATATAATGCCAATAAAATATTTTCTTAAAATTTATTAACATTTGAAATTTTTTAACAAAATATCAAGACAATCATTGAAAATAAAATATAAAAAAAAATCCCAGAGGACTTTTATTTTCTTATCACATTCAAGTTATTTTGAACAGTAATTTGTATTAAGATGGAACGAACCAAGGGAAACTTAGGTAACAAACATAAAAAATGTAAAACTGTAATAATGTCAGTAGCCAGGATACTTAAAAAATTGAAAAGTAAAAAAAAAAACTCAAGTTGTTATTTTGAACTTTCATCCGTAAAAATGATTGCAATATCAAATTGAATCTTCAAAACCTTACAGCAAAAATGAGAATTAGAAAAAAAATATTGTAAAAAATTCTCTTTTGACGATAAAAAATTTTCAATTTGACGCCGGTTTAATAGTAAAAACTAATAAAATTCAATAACTGTTCAAAAAACATTTCAAAAATAAAAATATCCTGAAAATCCTGTCATTCCCAACGTCCACAAATGATAAGATCTGCTCTATTATAACAATACTTTCCAAAATATATTGAGGTGTGTTCATTTGTATTAGTCTTTTTAGAACCACCCTCAACTTTCATTTGTGTTCTTTAGGGGTCATGAAAGCATAATAATAAAAAAACATTTCATATACATGGAGTACCATTATTTCAACGCCATTCTATGGTAATTAATATTTTTTGCGACCTCTCAAATAAAAATATTGTTATACTGTTCAATGGGGTACTAGGATAGTTTTATTATACTAGCATTCGAATCCTAATATACAATAAATAAAATTTTCAATCTTATATTTCATAATGTTATTGAATTTGTATATACACATAAAATATTACAAGTGTGCAATATTGTTGTCACACTCGCATTTATTCAATTAAGAATTACTTTGTTATACACATTATAGTGAGTTTCCAAATACATAAGTATGTTAAAATTACTAGTGCTTACAAACTAGTTTCCAAAAAAATATTTTCGAGCAAAAAATGTAGAATTCAGAATGACTTGTTTTGGGTTAATTCAAATGGCCAGGTTTAAATTCTCTTTCTGCAAATTTATTTCTGATAAATATAGGTCTTCTTCGGGCCCTATAATTGCTTTATGTATATAAATTTGGAAAATTTACTAAAATTTTTCCTATATTATTCACACGGAAATTGTGATATGTAATATATGTAATATGCTGAATTATATAAAATTTCAAAAAGTGAACACCAACCGCAATTAATTAAAAAAAAAATTTTTTTCGTTTATGTTTTTTGTACACTTTAACAGAGTCATCTGTACGTCAAAAATCAAAAAAATTTCCACTTATTTATAGTAGAGACATCTGTACTTCACGTTTATTTTTAATTTTCTTAATATTTCATGTGACCGTCAGATGACGCTTATTTTAATATAAAAACATGTTGATTTTAAAAAAAGTTTTTGAATCCTAGAATCATAAACACAAACCGAAATTTATTTAGTACAAAAGTAATGTAGGAAAATAATTATGTAAACGACAAATTTGAATCGAATTATGTACACATATTTAACAAATATTTAGGAACTGGTTTGAATATACAATAATTATATTTTATTTTTTACGATAAATGTCACTACTTTCTGTCAGACTAAAGAGTTAGAGAATTTTTCAAAATTTATAAAAAATGTTTTCTCCTTCAAATTTATACTTTTAGAATTTTTTTTTATAGAAAATTTTAATTTTTTATTATTTAAATTTTTACTTATTGAAAAAAATTGAATAAAGTCTTGAATTGAAAAATTGAAGAAGTTTATTTTAGCATTATAAATAAATGCTGAAAATGACTTTATTAAAACATTGTGAAACAGCTGTGAAACAACTTTCAAAGAATTGTTTTATATTTTGTTGATTGATAACGAAAACTAGCAGAAATATTAACAGCAAATAACATAACATAATCGGAAAAAATTATATGTCTAAATACGTAGTTTTGAATTTTGCATAGCCATCTATATATACACAGATTAAAATGCAAAATTATATATATATATATATATATATAAAGTCTATTTTGAAACTACAAACAGAACAACAACATAGTCAATTGCTACCAATACCATATGTCAACTTCTCTTTATTGATTTTATTTTAATTTTTTTAACAACAATAAATTTTTACGATATTTTTGTTTCAAAACGATTTTCAATAATTACCCAATTCACATACGATATTCAAAGCATATTCTCTGACTATCCCTGCTTAAAATATTAGCGAGCATAATGTAATGTGCTACTATTTTCTATGAACTTGAATTGTCAATCTGGGGAGCTTTTATTTTATTTATAAAGTTAAATTTAGAAAATGTTTGTAAATACCATATTTTCTAAATTTGTTTTAAATTAATACATATCTTGCTCTTTTTTTAAAATTTAAAAAGTAACTAAATTAAAACCTAGAAAAATAGGAGGATTTAGTTCAATTCATTTGTTTGGCGAGACGAGTCGATTACGTAGAGAAGAACGAAAGAAAATTATGGTAATTTTGGATAAGATTCCAAATTTTTTTTTTTTTTTAAGTTTGTGCCTTTGTTTTCAATGTTAAACATTTTATTTTTAATATTTTAAAAAAATATTTCAAGTATAAAATTCAAAAAATTAAATTGTAAATAATTAAAGTGCGAAAAAATTTTCAAATTCATAGAAAGAAGATTGTGATGTAATCTTAAAAAAATATTAGTAAAAAGAACTGAAATTTTAGTGGTTAAATTGAAGTGGATTAAAGAATTTAAGAATTTTTTTTTAATTTTCAATAAGAAATTATAATTTTTTTTTTGTATTCCTGTGTAATTATTTGTTGGCATAAATTTTTCCAAACTATAACCTTAGTTTTCCCTTCATTTCCATGTTAGTGTCTACTTCAGCAATAAAAGCAGTTGAATTTGTTTTGTAGGTGATCTAAAAAATAAAGGATGTATTCAAAACACCACAAATTGTTCCACGTGAAATAATAATTATGTTTCATTATAAATACACACAATACCACATTATAACTAATTCCTGAAAAGATTTTGTCCATGTAACAAGGATCAATTGAACACTATATATAATCAGTTTTTAATAAATACCTACTTACATTTTTACCTACACGGTATTTACACTTTATTTTAAAAGATGTTCGAATTTTGTAAATATTTTTTCATAAAATTGAAACACAAATTTCTTTAATTAATTAATCTAATAATTTATTTTTCAAATTTCCAAAATGAAATATAAACTTGTTTTTTATTTCTGTTAATTTTTCTTCAGTTTCAATAATGAAATCATTAAAACAATCCCTTTAATGTATGTTTATAATCCACGAATTATTTAAAAATCCTTAAATGTAATTTGTTTCAAGAAAATTTTAAATGTTCAGTGTTAAATTTTGATAAAATTTCAACAACTTTATTTCAATATATAATTTCTATTTACATATTTTGGTTGCTGTAATTATATAACACCATAGAACTTCGTGGAGAAGAGGTTAAAAAATGAAATATAAGATTAAGCCTGAACCGTATTATGAGGTAGTTTTTATTTTTCATCAAAATAATATCATATGTTATATCTTAAACAATTTATCTTAAAATATATAATGCACATTACATTTTAGTATATACTTGACATAAGAAAGTATATATGTATGTACATATATATAAATATTAATTTCATAGTAAAATATAATTTAAATTCAAAATATCGTATATTATTCCGGACTATACGATAATTTAAAAAAACTATTAATTTTTAGTTCCTTACAGAAAATTTTTTTTAATAACAAATATTTGTTTTAGGGTCTTCCACCGTTTAATGAAACTGGTAGTCCCTTTAATGTTTCACCAATACATTATCATCCTGAATTAGTTCAAGACTGTTGTAGATTGAGTAAGATTATTGAAATATACTTATAAACATACCTATTAAAAAAGCAAATTTTTTTTTATTTTAGTTAATTCTGAATGGCCAAGATCTAATACTGCTCGACTTAGATCTTTAGAGGCATCTTGTGATACATTACCTGTTAGTTTAATATTGACAACAGATAATTTTAGACGTGTTATAGGACATTGTAAATTATCACCAATACAAAGTAAAAGAAATGCATGTTTCGTAGAATCAGTTGTTATTGACGTATCATGCCGTGGTCAAGGTTTAGGTAAATTATTAATGAAATGTACAGAAGATTATTGTCGGGCTGTCTTAGGTTTAGAAATTGTTTATTTATCTACAACTGATCAAGAAGGATTTTATGAAAGAATAGGTTATCAATATTGTCGTCCTATTTCAATGTACGGTCCAAGACATTGTGATTTACCAACTACAGAAAAATCAAAAAAAAAATATATGAAAAAAATTCTTTAGCTGAATATTAAATTTGTTTATAAAGAAATTTTAACTATAAAAAAAATGAAAAGTAATTGCGCAAAAAGAAATTGTTCAACAATATATTTAAAAATTAATAATATTTATTAAACTTAAAGGAAAAAAATTCTTGTTAAATTAACTAGTATTGTAAATACATAAAAAATTGTAGAAATGTTATAAAAAAATCGATCAAATCTCGTTGATACAAAATAAATAACAAAAATTTAAAATTTAGCTATTTATTAAGTAAATTAAAGTAAAAATAATTAATGCATAACAATAAATAGAAAATAAAGGACAAATAATGAAAATAAAGCATAATTCCATTTAACTTTTATTTTTTTTTTTGCTCCAATTTAAAAGTTACTGATTTGATAATTTTAATATGTAAATAAATTAATCATAAAACATATCTTTAAAGTAGATTAATATCGATAATCTAATATTTTAATTTAATTTCATATATATTTTACGAATTATAATAAAAACAAAAAACACTAAGTATTTTATTATGTTCATATTAATAATACTATTTAAATCAAATCTACATACATACATACATATATATGCATATAAATATTATTATATTTTTTTAAAATAACAAGCCAAATGTATTTTTATAATGTTAAAACAATTTATAGCTTATAATAAAATATATTTAAGTAAAATTAATGTTTGGTTTCTATTTTTCAATTGATTATTCAATAGTGTCATAAAGTGACAATTAATTGCACAATAAAAGATTTAATGAATAAGTTCATTTTTGGGCAGAGTATTAAATATTCTATCACAACAAACATAAGTATCTAATTCTTTGTCCAATTTGAAATGACTAATAACTTGACAGTGCAAGTTCAATATATGTAGTTTACAAAATGTTTAAACATTATTATTTAAAATTATTTGTTCTGAATGCCAAAAAAAAAATAAAATAAAATAAATAAAATTAATGAAAAATTTTCATTAATTAATTGTTACAGTTGTAAAAAGTGAAAAAAAAAATTTATTATTTGCAAGTGTATTAATTAGAAATTTTTTCTAAATCTAAATTTCTATAACAAGAGTCTCTGTATCATAGCAAGCATGTAAGTGTGTAAATATTCTTCTATGTAAGTGTAGAAGAATATTTACAACGCGATTGAAATTCAAAATGCATCAACATACATACGCGCATGCAATGTGCAAAACAAACCTCCTAATTCATTTTTAAATTTATGAAATAAATATTTCAAATCTACGGTATATCATATTTTAATATATGTATGTGCATAGGTGCATTCACATGTACATATGAGCATTGTTTAATAAACATTACATTGTACACATATTTGTACAAACTATTTTATTATTTGATGTGCCTTCTAATTGAAGAATAATTGCAAAAAAAAAAAAAAAAATCTTAAAACTGATGTTTACTTATAAATTGTAAGTTTATGCATGTAAATATTTATTTGAAAAACGACAACAAAAATGATTAACTTCATGATCAAGGTTGTCTAAGGGAGCCAAATAGGAAAAGAATGTGCCAAATAAAATAAAAAATTTGGCAACATTAACATTAAAAATACCAATACAATTTTTTCTTTTTTTTTTTAAGAATTCTTTGCATTTTACACCATAATTTTGATTTTTCACGCGATCATATTAAATTATTGCAATCTTGAAATGTGTACAATTGTTGGCAAATAATTGCGGATATTAAAAAATATAAATTATTCATTTTACAATCGGATGTACATACATATATGTAATTAATTGATCTTTTCCGCTTTATTATAGTTATATTTTCTAGACCTACATACAAACATATGTATGTACATTACATATTTGCATCATATTTACATTCATATTATGAATTATGAAAATATATTGATGTATAAACGTGCCTATTTCATTCTGTAAGAAAAAAGGTAACCATATGATCCAAAATATGCACAAATTTTATAAAAAATAAAATGAGGCAATTATTATTTATGAATCAATTTTATTAATGTTAGTGTGTTCAGCAATTTTCCACAAAAATTAGAAAAAAGGTGCTTATTAGTTTCACTTTATCCGTCCGTCCGTCCGTACGTGGCCATGTTTACAAAACTTCTGCACCCTTCAAGACAGGAAGCTGAAATTTTATATGTGCATAGATCTTTACTAGAATCTTATTTCAGTATTTTTACTTGTTTCCTTTCCTGTAAAAGTTGTAACCCTTCAAAATCCAAAAAATGTAATTTGTCGACTACTTATTGTATCGAAACCATAAACATTTTTTAAATTCTGTAAGCGGAGAAAAGTGATTGTAAGTTTTTTCTGCCGCGTCATAGCTTATTTGAAGTTTAAAAAAACAAAATTCGTTTTCAAATTTTTGATATTATTTTTCTTCTAGACATCAGGTTGTAGCCGTCTAAAATTTTAGCAGCTTTAAGACAATTTTTTTCCACCTCCAACCCCCTTCAAGTTATCGCCTCTTGCAATTTTTAAAACTTGAATTCTTATCCTCTTATATTTCCGAAACTGCAAGCTTTTCCAAATTTCTATAAATGCACTTAAATGCGAACATTATGCTAATGCTTCTTTAATTTTTTTTTTATTTTATTTCAAAGATTGCATACAACGCTCATTTTAAGTGTATGCAATGTTTAAAGTATATTTGCGTATATGAATGACAGTAATATAAACAGTGTAGTATCTATATGGATTGTTTTTAAAAGCAGTATATTCACTTGTTTTAAATGCATATCCGAACATAAAAAAATATCTCGTTTTACTAACATATTATAGACGAAATTAATTTGTAATTATAGAATATTATGATTCTATTGAAGCTACTAAGCTTTAAAAGGTTAAAAAAAGTAAATCTTTTTCCTTATTAGAGCGAGGAAAACAGTTCTTATTTTATATATGAAAAAAAGGAGAGATGGCCACCTTTATTTTTAAATAATTTTTGTCTGAAATTTAATTTTAGCATTACGTAATGAATTCTTAAAAAAAAAAAAAAAAACAATTCATTTTTCAAAAAAATTTTTTTTTAATTTTTGTTTCATAACAAAATATTTTAACAAAAAACTAAACTATACATATATACTAAAAACATATATACATGTGTATGTAAGTTTGTGTTTATTTTGTTCGCTACTTTGTTTTAGATATAAAAAAAAATTTAAAAATAAAACTGCGTAAAATTCTTTTTTTTTAAAATAAAATTTTAATCAAAACAGAAATTGGAGAATTTGTAAATTTTAAATTTTCATCTTGAAAATTCATTAATGGAACAGTAAATCCTTGGAATTTAATTTGTTGAAAGTATTGGAAATAAAGCAAAAATTTAAATATGGTATATTTTAAAAACAATTTTTCTATTTCTGTTTTTTGGATTCTATCGAACTTTATTCTACATTGTCCACACATGTTATGTATGTATGCATGTGTTTACGTATATACATACATATGAATGTATGCTGTTTTCTCTCATCAATCATTTACATGATAGTTTCAAGCAAAATTTAAGTTCTGTTTTAAATTTAATAAAAATTTTTTTTCAAGTCAGCATTTGCCCTAAAACTTTACAAATAAAAAATCACTGACCCGTACAATTATACGTGATTATGGTAATTGTCTTAATATCCTTTTAATACACCTCAAAAAGCTGGAAAACAATATTTTGTAATGTTTCCTGCGTATGGTATGAAAAACTAAATTAATGTTTCTTCAGCCACAACTGATGATGAATTCAAGTTTCCTGTAGCACTATGTGTAATAGTGTCCATTTATTTTTAGTAAAGCTTTACAATTTTTCGTGTTTGTACATATGTATGTACATTATGCATATATACAGTTCATTTTTAATCATTTATTTTATTTATAGAGTTACCCAACACGATTTGCTGAACTTAATTAAATAAAGCCATGAATGTAATAAAATGTTAATTATACATTTTTAATAACCTGGAATGGGTATGTGTATCTAAAGCACAAAAATTATGATATATTGAAGACGTATATACATACATATGTATAAGGTACACATAGTCTATTTTTAACAAAAAACAATTTTTACAAACTTGTGTTTATCAAAACATTATGTATATGTATAACATATGTCTGGAGCTGTTAAAAAAACAGCTATTTCGTAGATACATATTTTACATATATGTATACATATGTATGTATATAAATTGTACATAAAAATTAACTCCTCAAAGATAACAAAAAATCTATTGCTTTACGTAGTACTTTTTTTTTAATGTACATGAAATCCATTCCAATTCGATCACTCTCAAATTCGAGGCTGTGCCATCTGGTTTTAAAAAAAAAACTATGAATGTTCTTACTTTGTACATATTTATAGTTAGAGCACATAAAATAACACAAGTGTACTCATAAATATGTATATATAGGTACGGAAAATGTGGGGATAGTATAGTTTTGCATACATATACATAGAGAAGTACCCCGATATCGGTTAATTATATTTGGAAAATTATTAAAAAGTTCTACAAATTCTACAAATTATAAATTAAGAAAGATGAAGTGAATTTTCGGTAATTTTACTTTGTATTTAAATGCCGCAACTGCGAAACTTTTAGCTAATAAATAGGAAATCTATATTGTACGGTTATAAAGCTTCCATTATTATTAATTTTAATCCAAGAATTTTAGTTTTAGCTTCTCATTTAATGTAAAATCTGTGATATTGTGTGTAATTCCAATTTACAATTTTAATTTTTACCATCTTAAAAAATAGTGTTTTGACTTATTAACCATAGTTGGTACAAACAGCTACCCCGAAAATGTTCAAAAACCTTATTGCTTGGACTAGTTTATAGAATTCAAATGAAACTTTTTTTTGAAATTTTTTTGATTTTGGTTTGACGCCATGAATTTCTCGAAATACTGATCTCTTAGAAAATTTAAAATTTTATTTAGGTATCCCTCGTAATCCATGTCTAATCCTGGAATGAGTTTTGCATAAATTACTTATTTTACTTCAAAAAAATCTCTTATATGATCCATACAGTTTTAATAAGTTTAATGATAGCTATTTTTATGATTGATTTTCAATTAAAAATTCTAGTGCGATAAATAAACTATACACAGTTTTGGAAAATTTGCTAAAAATAAAAAAAATATTTATTAATTTAAAATATTAAAAAACAAGAATCTGCAAATAATTTTTCTTTTACAAAATTACAAACAATCATCTCTAATTAATCATTGGATTATCCCCTTTCCTCAGGCAGATTGAACGCTCAACGAAGTAGTATTGCCGCATTTCTTTTTGAAATTTCCATTTAGATACTTGAATTTAATGATTCGAGCAACTGAACAGTGACGTAAATTTAATTCTAAAAATATAAAATGTTATGTGTACATAAATACATAATTATTGTTCTAAAGCAAAACAGTAAAATTTATTATGGAAAATTCTTATACATTAACAAAAGCAACTATAATAATCATATTATACACAGGATTGCTTTGATTTTAAAAATGTATACATATGTATTTAGAGTAAAGCGTATACATATATGTATATATTTGAAAGATAAACATTAAAGTTTAAACTCAAAATGTGAAACTGAAAAACGAATAACAATTATGCTGTCTCTAATATTAGAATAGTTTGAAGGGCATAAGTGAAGTTCAAAAATATGACCTAATTATATCTATCACAAATAATTCTTCTGATATCTGTAAATCTTCTATATAAATTTACTTCAATAACAACGGCTTACACTTTGTTACGTCACAATCTATGGTTAGAAACTTTTATTCTATTAAGAAACTTTTATTCTATAACATATATGTACATATTTAATGATAAACAATTTACAAGAACTGGAAAGGACCTTTGGAAATAAAATTTTATTCAAAATTAAGATTGCTCTGTTTATTTTTCACGTTAGTTACTTATAAGACGTTCATTGCCGATGCAAATTTCTTTAGAAATAGCCGTTTTTCTGAAAAAACATAATATCTAAAAAGTTTTTTGGAAACAGTATCTAAATGTTTTTATGGTTCACTATAATTACTGTATCTTACAAAAATCACCTTACATACAAGTTGTTGCAGATGTTTGAAATTATTTTTATATTTTCTTTTTTTAAGGGAAAGTAAATATGTTTAACATTATTCACTTATTTGTTTTGTTATCATAACAATCAATCGATCAAAACATTAATCGATCTAAAAATAAAACGATTATTTACAAACGCATTATTGTACTAACCACATTTTATGTAGTATGATACACATACATATACAACGTCACCTTAAATCATAAGTATCCTAAGTCCCATTTCAAAAATTTTACAGGAGAGCAATTTTAAATATGTTAAACTTCATTTCTCTTATGGTTTTACACTTAGACAAAATCCAAGTAATAGAAGTTTATAGCTTTTGAGAGATCATTTTTTATGCATATAGATCAAATTCTTAAATCAGCTTTTTCTTAGGAAATGGCGACTTAGGATATTTTTCCATCAAAAGTTTTAAGGGGAGAAGAATCTTAAGTCCAGATAAGAGACAGGATTAATTTGTATTTACGGACTTTAAAAAAGAAAAACCACTCTAAAGAAGCCTATGTTTTCACAGCAGCAGCAAAAAGAATACTAAAATCTAATGAGTAAAAAAAAACACATTTTGTCAAAAATTGGGCTTAGGATACTTCTGATCTAAGGTGACGATATGTATGTACATAATAAATGAATATTGAATTTGATAAAAAAAAAGCTTAAAATCAAACATTGGAAAAATTTCAAATATCGTTTGAATTCATGCAACTAAGTAAAAACTCATACATAATCAAAATATAATTTATAAAGAAATTAAAAGCTTATCGAGAATCCTGAATAGGAAATAAGTTTAGTTGGATTTATAATTACATAACTTGAAATTTAAATGCAGACTTTTAAATAAAATCTTGATATTTGAATAATCTGTTTTGCGTTCTGTCGAAAGATTTAAGTTCACAATATTAAGCAAGTATGCAATATATCTTATAATTATATGTACATAATTACCTAAATATAAGCAGTTTCATTTAATTCGAGGTTTTCGATCTTTTGTCCGCGGATCCGCACTTCTGTTTACAAAGTTTCTAAACTGTTTATGATGGAAAGTTGAAATTATGAGCAAATGAATCTTGTTCACAAATTAATTTTTTTGTGAGAAAATGGTTACTTATACAATTTAAAGTTGTGACCCTTCAAAACCTCGAAAATGCAATTTTTTTGACAATTTATTTTCTTGAAATCATAAACAGTTTTTAATTTCCGCAAACGAAACTATGTAGAAAACTGCTTTTTCTATTTTAAAATATGTAGCATAGGCAAAAGTAATAATTAAGAAATGGCCGTCGAAATTAATGCCTTTTTACAAATTCTTAATATAAATTTGCTCTTAGACGGTAAGTTGAAAGAGTTTAAATTTTCTCTAACTTATAAATTTTTTTGCATCTCCTTCGCCCTTTTGTCAGACATTACATAAGCTGGAAGAAGTATTTAAAATCTGAAGTTTCGTCAAATTTTTATTTTCACTCTATAACGCATTTTTTGACGTTTTAAATACCAATAAAAATAAATACGTTTCATATACCAATGGTTTTGGTATCTAACTTCCTAACGCCACCGCAATCCAACATTTATTTATTTGTGCTTTGCTTTTTTTTGTTCTTTTTTTCCTTTTTTGACCATTATTATTGACATTTTCCTCAACATATTTTTTGAACAACATACCTTTTTTAGTTTTAATTATTTTTATTAAAATAAAATTTATCAACTTGAAATAAAACTCAGTTGGTGTTGGAATGTTAAACACGGTAGGTAAACAAATCATAATTTGTTCATCACGTTGTTGATTGTAGGTATAAATACATAAATATTAAATTATTATTTTGTAAATTTCTGAATAATAACGGAATGTGTTTAACTAATTTGAAAAAATCGCACTTTAAAATCTATTGTCAAAATTTGTGTTTAATAAAAAATTAAATAAAGTGAAATTAATAAAAGTCTACATAGTTACGCGAAATTTTTTGAAATAATTACATGGATTTGTTATATAAGACAATTGAAATATGACTACAATTTACCAAAATTAATAATTTTGTAATTAAGTTAAAAAAAAATGATTGGTCAACATTATTGGCCACCAATTATTTTATACTTTATACCAAATTTGATTACATTTAGAAATTTAATAGTGATGATATGATTAAAATTTTAATCATATTGAGTAGGGAAAATGGTAGAAAAAAAATTTTGTACTTGAAATAAATTTAAATTAAAATTTTGTAATTAAACTTAAATTTTACATAAGATATGTATGTAAGAATGTCATAATAAATGAAACATATGGTGTGATGACTGTTTATATATCAGACTAAAATTATGTGATCAGATTTTACGTTAAAATTTAATGATTTTACGTACATATACTACGAAAATTATAACAATAACAAAAGTCAGCTGATAAAAATGATTTTTAAACAATATGAAATAGAGGGATCCGTCAAAATTTATGTAGAACTATATGGAACGCGATATTCATCTTTGTAAAGTAAACACAGTGGCTACAATGTTGAAGCCAGAGTACAATTTTACTTTTGCAAAATCGAATGGAAAATCTAATGAGAATAGAGACCAAGTCTGATATCGAAACAGATTTGTATTTACGACTTTAATAAGACTTAGATCAAAATGTAAATTTTTCCATTTACTTTAAACAAATTTTTTTATAACAGAACAAAAATTTTTTTTAAAATTTAAGTTAATTTTCATATATTTATTAAATATTTATTATTTTTAATTAAAAATTTTTCTCAATACGTCAAATTTAAATTTTAATTATCGAAACCTAAAATTATTTGTTATGTAAGTTCAATGCAATTATTTATGATTTTATATATGTATTTACATGGGAATTCGGGAAGGAGTTAAAATTAGGTCTTAAAAATTGAATTAAATTAAAAATCCCGTAAAATTATATTTCCCGTATAATTATATTATATTTTATATCTACATAATGTAGACATACATATACATACATACATATATTAAATAAAAATTTTATTCAGTTTTTCATACGTATACTGATAGAATTTAATGTTCATCCGTTCAAGTGACAAATTTTTTAAATATAATGAATACGCGGCTAATATACATACATATATCATAACAGTATAATTAATTTAATAATTTATTAATTTTTTAAATTAAACATATTTATATATGTACATGTACACAGTTTTGTTATTTTAATAGAAGAAAAAAATTCCTACAGAAATAAATAAATTTAATTCTATTTGTTTTTCAAAATTTTGCAAATTTAATTAAAAAATCACAGGCGCTCTATTATTCTACTTAATATTCCTAATAAAATTTAATATGGTTTTAAGTAGGTACCTAAATATATTTGAATTTGCTTTGGTTCACTGAATAATTAAAACATATTTAATTCAAATTAATTTTATATAATTAAATTTAATTTACTTAAATATCTTAACGAATAAAACATAAACTAATTTTAGTATTAATTAGATTAATTTTATAGTACTAAACGATTATAAATATGTAAATAAATTTTTTTCGAATAAGATTACTAATATGAACGTTTTAAAGTAACGTAAAAGTATATGAGTAAAAAGCATGAAAACGTATTCAAAAGTTTATGATTTTCATAAATAAATTTTCAAGCACATTGTAATTAATTAATTAAATTAATTATGTGTGTAAGTTAAATATATAAAAGTACATTCTATAAAGTACGATTTCCACCAATTCAAAAATTAAAAGATTAACATGGCGCATAGTTTCATTATCAAGGTGAAATTATTAAAGCGAAAATTTTAACCTAATAAACTGAAATTGTACCTTAAATTCACAAAAATTGTTATAAAATTCAAAAAACTATTTGTAATGAATTTCTTTTAATTTTTTTACACAAGTCCCTTGTGGGGTAGATAATAATTGTGTAAATAAAAAAGTTATAACATATGTACACATAATATATATGTATGTATATAAGCTGTTTTCTATTCAAAAGTATACGTTTATTATCATTAATAATATGTTATTGTTATAATAATAATGACGCGTTATCATTATATAATCAGTCACACAACTGTCACACCTACCTAAAGATGCATTTACAACACTTTACATAATATATAAGCATGAGTAAGAAAAAAAATTCTTATAGTATTGAAAATATGCTCTACAATAACAGTTTGATAAAAGAAGTTTGTGGTGTTGTGTGAATGCCGATATAAAATTTTTTTAACCGCATTCAAAATTGTAAAAGTAAATGTTTTTGTGGTTTATTGAAATTTTTTAATAATTTGTAGAAAAGCCAACATTTCTAACAAATTGTCAATAACTGTACTAGATTGAGTATATATACATAACGACTTGTCTAATAGGACGGAAAATTTTCTTTTGGAACAATATTTATAAGTACGATATAAGTTTAAAAAATCATACGTTGATTTTTCGATATATATTAAGTCAACTTAGAAATTCAAGCTTTAAAAATTAAGTAACATTATGCAAAATGTTAATATTTAAAAAAAAATTGTATGTGTGTGTGTGTAATACAAGAAAATTGCAATTGTAATTGACATAGTATAAGCATGATTTAAAAGCTAAATATTTTTGCAACCAAATCAGGATATACACACATATGAACTTCGACGTACTTTGTTTTTTTTTTAATTTTTAAATCATACGTTAGTATCCGATACGTACTATTGAATTTGAAATTTCTTTAAGTTGAAAATGCTTTTTAATTTCTCTTAAAATCCCCTGTTTTTATGCAAAAAAAAAACATTTAATCAATGGTTTATAAATATTTTGTAGTTTTACAGCTTAATTGTACAATTTTGGTTTCCTTCCAACCCCTAAATCATCATGGTTATACTTTCTGAATGCAGTAAAAATAGTAAAATAAAGCCAGCTGATAGTTATTGGACCATCAATCCAGAAAAATGTGTCAAATTAAAGATTGAACGTGAACCAACGATACAACCTGTATCAATTGTTGATATTTTTGATAGAGTTGTTAAAGAATATCCGAATAATCCATCGTTAATGTATAAAAATTCACATTCCAAATGGACCCCAATTACATATAAGTAAGTTAGTTAGGAAACAGAAGTTTTTGAGCAAATTAAAAGTTAATTTTTTTGTTTTTAAAGAGATTACCAAAAAAAGGTTGAACATATTGCAAAGAGCTTTATTAAACTTGGACTTGATGAGTATTTTTCTGTTGCTGTTATAGCGTTTAATTGCCCTGAATGGTTTATATCAGCATTAGCAGCAATACATGCTCATGGAATAATTACAGGCGTTTATACAACAAATTCCACAGAGGCTACATATCACATTTTAAAAACATCACGTACTAATGTCGTTATTGTAGATGATACAAAACAAATGAACAAAATTCGTGAAATAAGACATAAATTACCATTTTTAAAAGCTGTTGTACAACTTAATGGACCATATGAGTCCTTTGTTGGAACAGAAATGGGATATTGCCGGGTAAGTAAATATGTAATAACTCTAAAAATTACATTACCTTTAATAAATTAAAAAAATAAGCAATAAATCAAAATAAATCAAATCAACAATACTAAATTTCCTCTTTGTTTTAGTGGTCAGACTTAGAAGAAATGGATGTTACAGAGTTTAATGAAGAGTACCATAGAAGAAAAAATAATGTTGTTGTTAACGAATGCTGCTCAGTGGTTTTTACGGTACTGAAGATAAAAAATTAAACAAAAATATTTGGCGAAAATTCAATTTTTTTTTTTCATATTTAAAGTCGGGTACAACAGGGCAAGCTAAAGGAGCAATGCTATCTCATGATAATATCCTATTTGCCTGCCAATCAACAATAAAATTTTTAGGAAATTCTCGTTTTGGTGAAGAAGTTTTTGTTTCATACTTACCATTAAGTCATATTGCAGCACAAGTGTTGGAGTTTTATATTTGTTTATGTTATGCAGGCTGTGCGTGGTTTGGAGATCGTGATTCCTTAAAAGGAAGTTTAGTAAATACATTACAAGCTGCACGTCCAACTCGTTTTTTTGGCGTCCCCCGAGTATATGAAAAAATTCATGAAAAAATGAAAGCTCTTGGAGCTCAAAGTAATTTTCTAAAAAAAGCTATAGCAATGTGGGGTAAAAATATTACTTTGCAGCACTATATGGCTGAAACTACTGAGTAATTCTATAAAAAGTAAATACTTTTGTGTAAAATAAAGTTTCTCTTTTGTTTCATAGTTCAAATCAAAAACCAGTTCATAGTTTTTCGTATAAACTAGTGCGCAGAATACTTATGTCAAAAATAAAAGAAGCTCTTGGTTTGGATCGTTGTGTTTCTCTTGCTAGTGGTTCAGCTCCTTTGTCTGTGGAAACTAAAAAATATTTTCTAAGTTTGGATATAAAAATTTTAGATGCTTTTGGAATGACAGAAACATCTGCACCACATTTAGTTTCACCACCAGATGGACCTTTAAATCTGGAATCCGTTGGAGTTCCAATTTCAGGTTGTGATGCAAAAATTATAAATCCAGATAAAGATGGTAATGGTGAGGTAAATTTTCGTATATATATACTTTATTTTGGTAAATTTTTAATAAAAATTCTGTTTTAAGTTATGTCTAAACGGTCGCAATATATTTATGGGGTATATTGGTTTATTAGAAAAAACTAAAGAGGCTTTAGATGATGAAGGATATTTGCATACTGGGGATATCGCGCGAATTGATAAAAATGGATATGTAACAATAACAGGACGCCTTAAGGACATAATCATAACGGCAGGTGGTGAAAATATTGCTCCAATTTACGTTGAAAACTTAGTTAAAGCTGAGTTACCTATAGTTAGTAATGCATTTTTAGTAGGCGACCGCCAAAAATTCGTGGCAATATTGTTAGCTTTAAAGGTAGAAAGTGTATACATTTTCATTGAAATTTCAATGTTCGTTTAATAGTGTTCCATTTAGACTGAAATCAATCCAGATGATATGTCTCCACTCGATGCATTGATGCCAGAAGTCATGGAATTTTTTAAAAATTTGGGATGTAATTGTAAAACTTTAAAAGAAGTAATTGAAGCTGGGCCATGCCCTATTGTTTTGAAATCAATTCAAGATGGGATTGACAGAGCTAATATTCATTCAATATCAAATGCACAGAAAATTCAAAAGTTTGCTATACTACCACATGATTTTTCAATAGTAACCGGTGAATTAGGTAATCATTTATTTTGTGCAAAGTCAGTGTAAACTTTTCATCACTTCTTTTTTAGGTCCTACAATGAAAGTTAAACGAAATTCTGTAGTTGAAAAATACAAAGAAACAATTGAAAGTTTTTATAGAGAGAATTAATGCATTACATTTGTTTTGCAGATGAAATTCAGTTTATCCAAAATAATAGTAAATAGAACGCTAGTCTTAAAAAGCTTTATAAAAATTATAAGTTTAAAATGTTTAAAGTGTTCGAGCATCCTTATTTCCTTTACCCATTATTAATAATTTAATAGTTTTCATTTATTAATCTAATTAAGTGATTAAGTTACTTAGATTTAACACAAATTCATATTACTTGCATTTAATTATCTTTATTGATTGAAAGTTAAGTTTTTCTACGTCAATAAAAATTAAAAGAAAAATTATCGTTACTTTTTGTGTTTTTTTCTTTTTAAAATTGTATAAAACTCTCAATCAAAAATATAACTACAGTAGGATTCTAATTGTTTAGTCTACTATTTAGTATGAATAGATCTCCAATTAGTCAAATTCTAAACTCCCTTAAAATTTTATTAAAAAATTTTATCTGGAACATTTTTAATAAAAACGTTCCAGAGCATCTAAAATTTTTCGCTTCTTCTGTCGTTAATAAATTATCTAATTAAAGATCTTTGGAATTTGAACCTTGTTAACATGATCTAAAGTATAACATAGCTCTAATTACAGTAAAATTGGATGACGGTTTAATATTTAGTCATGCAACGCGGTTTAAATTTATTTATTATAGAAGCTAATTAATATCACAATAAAGTATTACCTGGTCTTTCTCAGGAAGTAGGAAAACATAAATTGCGCCAAAAAGTTTCTTTAAAATGAAATTAACTGTATACTGTACTTACAAGAAGCAACGCGGGCGGAGTGAGGGCGAATATCCTCACTCTGTCTTAACGATTTCTACTCTGCCTTGGTGGAAATAAATTAAAATTTTAATGTATAAAGAAAAATACTTACATTACGAGTTTGATATTTTTATACGGCACTATTTTTTTGTCATATGAAATATATTATCACTCATTTCATTATGAAAGAGAAAAAAAAGTAAACATATCTATGAATTATGATCTTATGATATCACATTTTTTTTGCAATTTTTTTTCTTTATCTCTCTCGTTTTATTCGAATGGTATGTTCTATTAGAACCAATTGCAACAACAATTACGATTTAAAATTTTAATGAGAAGAAAGTGGGAGAAATGAGAGGATGGGAAATTGATCAAAGCAAAACAACTTTTGATAATTTTTTTGTATGAAAATGGCTTTATGTAAGAAAAAGGTCGTGAGTTTTGGAATGTTGAAAGATGTTATATTTTTCAATATTTCTTGAATGAAATGTTGATTTTCAACTATTGCTATGAAATTATGATTAAATTATGTGAAATATCGTTAATGTTCAACTAACATGTTTGGAAAAAACTTAATATTTTGCTAATATTTTAGCAAATTATTGCACCAACTTATTAAACAAAAACGGACAAAGTGTCCGTGACTCACTCCATTTATTCGAGTAATATTTTGTAAAAACAAAAGACGCAAGTTATTGTGAATTTGGTTTTTGTCAATGCTGCAGCTCATACCAATAAAGATGTTATACTATACTTAACACTAGTGTATAATGTTTTCATATTTAACCGATAGATGTCTTATTAAATACTTTAAGAAAATATTCGAATAACCTTAATAGTCACCAAATAAAGATTGACGATTAAACCCAGAAAGATTGTTGTAAATGCATCCAATATTAAAAATTTCACAAAAAATGTACATATAATTATATAATTGTCCATATAATTTAAAAATTTTATTTTTTAACCAATGGTTTTTCACATAACACTTTTGCAAGACACATTTGATAATTTTAATTACATTAAAATATGTAAGACATTCTTTGGTATTTGTTAAAACATAACAAAATATTTAAAAAAAAAAATCGTGTAGAACTAGGGTTTTGATGAGTTATTAATTGATTGATCTTCTACTTGTGCTAAAATTTTTACTATTCGTGTGGCTACGAGATTTTGGATTTCTTGAATTGTCTTGTGAGCTTCTATTTTACTAAATTTATTTAACTCTTTTAACTGCAAAGCTATCGTTTTACCAAATGAATGGAAAACTTCTTCATCTGACTGAGGTGAACTTAGAACAATATTATTATTCATAATACTAGTGGATGAAACTATTTTATCTTGTTTTTTATTACGATGAGTTACTGATCTTAATCGAAGTTCTGAAACTTTTTGAAAATTAGATGATTTTCGTTTTCGGTTTGACTTTCTCAAAAACTTTTTGTCTCTGCTTTCAATTTTCTTCTCACGTTTATGTTTCTAAAAATGAAAATCAATTATATGTAAATATTTAGGTAAAACTAGTTTTAAAAATATCGCAAGTAAATTTTTTATATTGAAATTTAGAACAACCAATACTTCAATTTGCTTTTTCCTTACTTTTTTAAAATCAACTGATGTGGAAGAGTTTGAATCCCAAGACTCATCTTCATAATTTTCCTGTTTAATGTCTATATTGCCTTCTGTTTTGAGTGCATCATTAATATTAGCTGTAACGAACTCGTTATTTGCAGAACTTTTCATTTTTTTTCCATCTTTTTTTGAGGCATACTGATTATGATGCAAGGTTTTCCACTGGAAGCAACAAAATTAATGTGAAAATAAAAGTTTATTAAAGTCATGTTTCGAAATTACTTTTAAAGTTCTATCATTATTTATATCAATATCGCAATTTTTATTGCCAGCGGTTTCATTAAAAACTGATGAGATACTCTGCAGTAAATTTTTATATTGTTCCATTGTCCTTTATTCTATTTTTAAATGTAGGTTATACCTATTTCAAGTTATCATTATTTTTTATTTTTTTAGCCATGAACCAATTAAGCTTTACAGTATTTTGAATGCATTTACTTTTACTTATAATTACTAACAAAAATTGTTAAACAATTTGAATGATTTGGATTTTTTAAATAAATTCTATTTATGTTTTGACTACAAAAACTAAAGTTTTTGAAAATTTTTTAAAACAACACTTAAATCAAAAAATTATAATTCTGATAACAAAACAAAAACGCTTCTATGAAAGAAACTAAACTTTGATAATCTTGAAACTAGAAGCAAACAAGATTTGACAGTATAAAATTGGTAGGGATACTCCTACACCACTTTAATGCAATCTATTAGAGGTACGGAGAAAACTTACAAAAAATACAACACAGTATTGTTATATTTGCCGGAACTTTGGTGTACAATATGAGTTAACTCAAATCACTTCCTACAGAAATAGTATTCAAACCATTAAAATCAAATTTATATTTTTGTGGGAAGTGATTTAAGATCACTTAAGAACACTAAGATTTTTGTGGGAAGTGACCGTCAATCACTATTGACGATAAATTAGCCCATTACTCTTAATACGCCTTTTACTTTTTTCTGCTTTTCTTATCAAAAGTAATAAAAACAGCAAACCCTTATTTTTGCAATACATTTTATCGTGATTCGTAAAGTTGGATTTGTAAATGTAAATTTAGCTCGGTCTTCTAATATTTGGGGTTTAGAATCTCCGCCGCACATTAACTTTCTGTATTGCAATAGTTTAAATTGCATATTGCTAATCTATTAGTTACATTCCATTTACGTGGTCAAACTACTCCATATGACTAGCCAAAACTGAGCATAGCTACACAACCTCGAATAAACGCATAGATGATCTGTACAGCAACAAAAAATTTTTCCGGTAGGTCAAAATAGTATTTCTAATCTATATCAGTTGTATTTTGAGTTCTCGGATTTTTTTGGCTTGCAATTTTAAAATTTGAAATGTATTTTTTTTATAAAATTGACATTTAAGACAATAAAGAAAAGAGCTACATGTAGTTATGTTTAATTCGTATACCGAAAAAGACCGTTCCATTTCCAACTGTACATTATATATTCATAAGTAGTTTAAATTTGAACACATTAATAAAACACAAAATATTGAAACGTTACACACCTGCACGGTGTATACATTAATTAAAGGTACTCGCTCTCTTACAGAAATCTAATATTTAATTTGCAGATAAATGTCAACTGTCCCATTTTCATATTTAAAAAAAAAAAAACTATATAACCAAAACTTTATTGATATTTATTTGACGTATTTGGAAAAGGAAAACAAATTACCTAGATCAATTTTTCAATTGATATGTAAATATTTAAACTTAGAGATACTAAAAGAAAATGACAACAAATAGTTTTTATTTTTTGTCTTCTAAAAGTACTCAAATATTTTATTTCGGGAAGAAACTTTGTGTAAATTGAAAATACTATATTTATATAATGAAAGCTGTCAAAAATACGTTTAAACAAACTGGCAGCACGAACAGAAAACGGAAAAGTCAAAATTTTCTCCTGAAAATTAAAGTTAGTTGGTTTTTGACTTCGGAGAGTGACATTTCTTTAAAATTAAAGAATAGGAGCGTCGCGTTAACTTACATGTAGTACCTAAACAAACAATATTTGAATTTAAAATACAATTTTTTAAAATTATTTTTTAATTTTGAATTAAATATTTACTAGTTTTTTGAAAAATATTGAAAATAAATAATATATTTTAAAGTAAAAAAGGACTAGCAGAAAAAATTCTCCAGTTTTTGATTTTGGGGAAAAATCGATAATAAAAGCAAAAAAAAAAAATAAAAACATAAAAGAAAAACTGCAAAATCTAGTGCAGTGCAGTAATTTTTTTTTTAATTTAATTTGGTTTTTTATTGAAAATATTTTAGTCTTGAAAAAATACAAAATTGTCAAAAATATTACAATTAAAAGTGAAAAAAAAAATTAACACAATATTAAAAAAAATTAAGGAAAAAAGTAGAAAAGAGTGAAACTTAAAGGAATTGTTATATTTCGCGCTTGGTAAATTTTGCAATGCGGGATCTCGGTGCAAAAATGGCCGAGTTAAAATTTGAGGCTCCATTGGCCCAATTCGAGGAAACAGATGAATGGGGTGGTAATGATTTTATTACCCAAACAGTTGGTGGTGGTGGTAATAACGTTGGTGTTACAAACGGTGGTGGAGTTGGTGCAAATAATGCAAACACTCTAAAATCATTAAGTGATACATTAAATTTAAATTTGAAAGAAACTGATAATATTTTGTTATTGGAAGAAGCTGTTCGTGACGTTCACATTAGCAAAAATGGTAGTCCAAATTGTAATTCAGGAAACACAACAACTACTAACATAAACAATGCTATAACTACAATGAATATGAAAGATACAAATGTTGATAATTTTACTGAAACTTTTAGTGGAAGTCTTGAAGATTTGGTAAATACATTTGATGAAAAAATTACAAAATGTTTTGGAAATTATGAAGAAAATGTTGAAGAATTAGCGCCAGTACAAGTTCGAAGCCAAGAGGAAATCATGAACGAATGCCAGTAAGTACCGACCTACAGAAAATATACGTATTTTGTACACTTAAAATATCAAAAAAATTTATTAAAATAGCACGTACTTAATTAGATTTAATTAAGTAAATAAATTTACTAGGTATAATTAAATTATACCTTGTTATATTTTTGACTAAATTAAATTTGTGAACTAAATAAGGTTATATTAAACAGTGGACCCCATTTAGTTTGTATGAAAATATCCTTTGAAATTCGGAAAAAATTAAATAACACACCTATAAATGACGTAGTTCTTATCTCATTCATTTTATAAGTTTTTTTTCATTTGCTTTTTATTTCAATATTGATCTACAGGTAAATGAAAATTTTCGAAAAAAGAAAAGGTTAGAAAATTCCTAAAGCTGAAGTCATGACACCTAAAAGTTTTCTTTTTTTTTATTAAAAAGAAATGAAAGAAATTTAAATGCTTAAGTTTTTTTTTGCAATTTTATGTAAAATTTTTGTTACTTAAGCCATACTAATTGAATTAAAATTGAAATAGCATTTTATTTTATTTTAAAATTTAATACAAATTAAAATTTTAAGAGAAATAATAAAAAAATATTCTCAGATTTAACTAGATTTATTTAAAAATATTATAAGTACGTACTTATTAGATAATTTCAAGTTCTGTGTAAATTCTTACTGAATTTTTTATAGGAATTATATGTATTAGGTGGGTAAAATAAATTTTCTTTCTATGAATTATACTTCAAAAAAAATAAAATTTTTTAATGACGATTAAGCTTTATGAGAAATTGTCGTAGTTTGTTATAAATAAATAAATTAAATTTAAAGACCTACTCAGTCATTAATTTTAATTATGAATTTTTACTCAAACTATTAAAAAGTAAATAAACACCTCAGATTTATACCTACTTCATTATCCTTTTTGTATAAAAAATACAATTGAATTGAACTGGTATACGAAGGCGTTATGTATACATATATAAAGTATACATACCCATCTTTCCATATTATTCCTGAAATGAAATTTTCTAAGTATTTCAAAATTAAGATTTTATATTTAATATTTTTGTAACTATATACAAGAACAGGTACATGTCTAGCTATACATACTATAAATTTAGAAAAATTGCATTTTACATTCGTTTCTCAACAATTTGGCAACAATACGCAAAAAAGACAATTTTGAAAGATTATTATTTATTTAAAGTTCAACTTCTTCATTTGGGATATAAAGACCAGGAAGTCCTTTATATATATATACATATTATAAGTTTAATAATCATAACGAAAATTTACTACATGGATAAAATAAGGACATGCGCAATAAATTATAAAAGTAAAGAAAAAAACAACAAACCTTTGGTATCGATCCAGTAGAGTAGTGTAGAAAAGTAGTGTCATCGTACTTCTGTCTTTCTTTTTATTCCCTTTTTTTTATATTATCCTGCAATATTAAATGTATACAGATTACATACTTAGGTGTATGAATGTGTGTTATTACTTTTATTATATAAGTAAAAACTTTTCTTTATTTAAGGTAAGTGTAGCTAATACTGACAGTGGCGGTAATACTGACATACATGAGGTTTTTTATAATTATTAAGAGATTTTCTCTATACAACATATATATATTTTTTTATTTCTAGATTAATTCAAATTATCGCAATACTTCCTTTTATTTAGTTTTGAAATAACTCCAAAATATTGAACATAAATCAGTTTTGTTTCTATAGACATAGCAAAAGTGGGTTGCATTGGAGAATTTCTTATACTTTTTGCTTAATTTTTCCGATTTTGTTTTTATTGTTTTTTGACTTATTTGACGGTTAAAAATATATGTATTTATATTAAATTAAATATTTTGATTATTCTTTATCTTATTTTATAAGTTATTCGGAGTAAAAACGTTAAATAAATAAGAATTTTAAAAAATAATTCCTATCAGTATTAGGAACATCTAAAATTCGACCCTGCTTCTATTACTGACATATGTGTCAGTAATACGTCAAAAATCCGTATTTTTACAAATGTCGTCATTTTTAGAATATTTAAATTTTTATTTTCGTATTTATTTAATTAAAATCGAATTTGAATTTTCTTTCTAATGTCCGAATTCTGACACTAAGAATTTACTACAGGTTCGGAGTATTTTAGCTTTAAAAACGGGTGTCGGTAATACGATCTAAAGAGGGTCAATATTATGTACAAAATTATGTCAGTATAAAGTTGTAATTTTGATATTCATTTTAATTAATAAAAATAATTTCTTTATACTTTAAAATTGTTTAAACTATTTCTGTCGAATGAAAATCGATTACGTTTGTGAAAACTTATATCTGACTGCGACCTTTTTACCTTTTTAATAGTGATATTCGTCTAACAAATTGTGTGTCAATATTGTATACAATACTGTCAATAAAACAGTACAATTCGCTTTCTAAAAAAATGCTTTGAAATTACTGTAAACGTTAACGTCATAACAAATATCACAACGGAAATGGTTCTTTTTAAATAAGAAAAGGAGTCCTTTTTAATAACCCGAAATGTTGTTCCAAAAATTAAGAATGGGTTGCTCTCGTTACGTACTTAATACATAAATAGTCTTTGTTAAAGCAAAAAGCAGCTTTAGAATAGGCTTATTAGCAGCTTTAGAATATATTGATATGATTTCTTATAATTTCGTGTGATCGGTACATCATATTTTAGGTATTATTTATAAGAATACATCTGTAGCAAATATTACTTATAATACTTTATAAAAAATTATATAATTTCGAATTAGATTTTCATACTTAAATATCTTTTAAAAATTTTTATTTATTCATTGTTGCATATTAAGACTACTAGCAAAAGTACATTCTACAGTAATAATAAATTCAAATCAGCTGAATTTCACATATTTTTACCTTTAATTCAATAAAAAATATTTTTTTTATTTTTGTTTGAATTATAATATGATAAATTTTTAATTTTTTTTTTAAATAAAATGAAATATCCGTAGAAATCCAAATTATTATTCCATTTTTATTGAATATTATCATTTTAACCATTTTAAACCATTATTCATATATAGAATATGGATTACAGCATATAAAATTACATTGTCAGTATTAGGAACACAAACTGTCAGTAATAGACACAAACATTTGCGGTTATGTCAATATTAGGAACATTTTTTCTCTTCGTCTTTAATCGAAAAATTATGAATTAAAAAATATTTTGATTAAATAATTTTATAAAAAACATTATTCCCAATTATCCAAATTATTCAAAAAATCGGAAATACGATCATTTATTGTGTCCCACATATAAAATATCTCACGCCAAAGTTGAATTTGTTGCGAAATATGTCAGTAATAGGGGCACTTACCTTATGTTAGTATACTTATATGTATATGTATAAACATACTTGATATACGTAAAAATGTGTACAGTTCTCCCCGGTTAATTGAACCGAGAAAAGTTGCACACTTTTTGTATCAATTAAGCGGGTAAATCAATTAAAAAAATCCCGTTTAATTGAACAATTGGTGCAATAAAACGAATTTTTTTAACTGAATCGTTTACGCATGAAAACGAATACTCGCTATTGAAGATCAGGCGCAAAAACGAATTTGATCCTGCTACTGCATAAAATTAATAAAAACAATAGGAAGCATATCCTATTACATATACTTATCAAAATATCCTAGGTAAAAAGCTATATTTAAAATAGGGGATACACTAATGAAATACTAAAACTCAAATTTTTTTTTATTTCAAAATTTAAAAACTTAAATTTTTCTTTATTTTAAATCCATCTAAGTAATGTAACTATGAATTCAAATTCAAAATATTTAAATCATAATATTTTTATATCACATAACATAACAAAAATTAAAAATAAATATTTCATATTACAAAGAAAACAAAATATTTCATACGTTATATCTAATTTTTCAATAAATTTACTATTGCTAGTTTAACAACAACAAATAGAATAATAAAAAATTAAACCTATTTAAAAAAATTTGTAATTTTCGTTTGGTTATGTTTGTAATGATTCTTAATAATAAAGGTTTCCATTTCATCTAAGTTTTCAATAAATTTATTTTGTGGGATAAAAAATTTCCGTACAATGTTTATGCCGTTATCAGGTCAATAAACAGGGGAATTTTTCACAGTTTTTATAAGGTAATACCAAAAAAAGAGATTCATTTAAGCGAGTTGTTCAATTAAACGGGACTCAATTAAACGATGTTATTCATGTATATTTTAATAGGGATTTAAAGTTGCCTTAGTTTTTCGTTCAATAAAAGGGGAAAATCAATTAAGCGTGGTGCATTTAACCGGGGAGAACTGTATATATATTTATTTATACTTATATGTTTTTGTTCAATTGCTTCTGCTTTTGATGTTTAACGTCTTACTTATAGAAGGAACAGATTAAAGTTTTCTTTTTTTGGTTATACTGTAATTAGGTAATGCGAAAGTAAATTTTCTTTGGGTTAGCGTACCTTTAAATATGCATACTTGCTTAGTGAATACTTAATCATATTTGAGTTAGAATTAACTTCATCTTAGTAAATTTTGGTAAATTTTCTTTAATCAATTTTCTAATAAAGAGTTAGATAAATGAAGTCATAAGAACATGAATACATAAATAAATTTAAGTAATTATTTTATTAAACAATCTAAAACAAAATTATTACGAGTTCTTATTTCTTAGTACTATTAAGAATTTTTTTATAAAGTTTTTAAAATAAAAGGAATTTTTGTACTTAAATTAAAGTAAATAAGTTTAGTTACTTATGTTAGAATTGAGTGAAATCTGCATATTTACTTACATTTGATTTTTTATTTACTTTTCCGCTGTACATTTTTATCCGGCTTATTTAATTTTGAAATAAATTATTTTATGTGCGTTACTACTTACTAAATTACTAGAACCCAAAAATTAGTAATTATAGCATTTTGATTATGTTTTGATTTATTTCCTTATTCGTATAGTTATTTTCTGTATTTTTTAATGGCTTATG